TCCCTTCTTATATTTTAGTGCAGTTTTCATTATAAATCTATTCTTGTCCTGCTATCTGTTTCTTGTAGAAGAGAAAAAATGTTTATCTTTATAATTTGTCACACCCTGGAACAATAATTACAAACAAAACTCTCTCTGAGCAAGCATTTCAGGAGAGGCTATCTAATCTTAATTCAGAGTCTCACAGCATTCATTAACTCTTACATTTTCAAAAAGTTCAAGTCTATGTACTCTGAACATGCAATGGTCTGTTTGCACATCAGGGATTATGGTTCATGGGATCCCATCCCTAAGACTTGCTGCTTTTCTAACAGTGACAGATGCTCTACTGCATCTTATCACCTGGATAAATATGTTCAGAGCATATTCAAATGGTATGAAAATCTCCACCCCTGTGAACCTCTTCTAGATTTAAAAGCTGATCCCTGACTCTCCATCTGTGAAATCTGCTGCACCATGGACTTACTTCATTCCATTGTCCTGCTACTGACCCTCACTTCCTGTGAGTGCTTTGGTCCAGAGATTTCCCAGAAGTAAAAAGAATCCTCTTAACTTCTTGAATCAGTATTATATCTTTTTGTGTTTTCTTCCACAGGGGTTCTTTCTCAGGTCACCCTGAAAGAATCTGGTCCTGGGCTGCTGAAACCTAATGAGGTTCTATCGCTGACCTGCACCATCTCTGGATTCTCACTGAGCACTACTGATATTGGTGTTGGCTGGCTCCGTCAGCCTCAAGGAAAGGCACCTGAGTGGCTCTCCCACATATGGTGGGATGATGATAAAAGATATGCACCATCTCTGAAGAACCGGCTCACAATTTCCAGAGACACCTCCAAAAGCCAAGTGTTCTTAACTATGACCAACATGAGCCCCATAGACACAGCCATGTACTATTGTGCACGAGTACAATACACAGAGACACAGCCTAGGGTAACGTCTGTTCAAAAACCTAGGCAGATTCTCAGATGTGTCCCTACTTCTACAGAGGGGAAGACTGTGGTGAAAAGTACATTTCCTGTCAGGCTCTGGGGTTTCCTCTCATCACTCAGGAGTCTCAGTACACACTGAAGCTGTTGAAGACAAAGATAAACAACACTTCTGAACAAAGAACAGAAGAAAGATCCACTATGAGAGATGCATAGCTCAGATCTGCTTAGTCAATATCTTTGGAGAACTTATACATTGCTTTTGACTGCATTCCTTCAAGGCAGAAAATGGTGTATAGTCAAAATATGTCTTCGGTATTTTGAAAATAGGGAAAGTGCACACAGGCTCAAACATTCACACTGGCTATAAAAATTTAAGAACACAAGGGGGGAACAGGCATGCAATGTGCAACAGTGAATGAATGAATAAAAATACAAGTTCTTTGTAAACTTTCATTAAAATTACAATTAAAATAAAAAATATTAAAAATAAACAAAAAGTAAAAAGTGACAGAATCTCCATGCCAAAAAATACACCACATCATTAACACAAAACAACAAAAGCTACAGATAATGAAAATCAAGTATACATTTGAGGAGATGCTCAGTAAAGCTGAAAATATGTAGCCAAAGCTATTGAGTTGTTTTGAGACAGCAATACGGCCCAGAGACACAGAATAAGTTGAAGATCCAGCAAAACCAGAAGGAGAAATTTCCGTTTCACAAGTTCCTTATAGACTAGATTTGAAAAACTGATTTAAGAGCCTAAACTGAAACATTTTTGTCCAAGATATATGACTCTTATTTATGTTTTATAGCATTTTACTACATTGTTGGGTTCAGTTTCACTCAAGGAATTTCTGTGCAGTCAGCACCAACTCATAGCTGGTCTTGCAGGTTTTCAGAGGCTTTAAATTGCACAGTAGAAGATTAAGAACCTTATTGTTCTGTAATTTCCTTTCTAGAAATGGATTTTTCTGCTTTTGGAAATTGCATAGTTGTGGCATTGTAGAATGAATTATGAAATATTTCCTCTCATATTGCTGAGGTAGGTGTTTAGAGAGATCAGTAGTATTTCTTTTAATGTTTATTTTACACCACTAATGAAATCACTTGGTTGTGATCTTCTCTGTTTTAGAAAGTTGTTGTTCAGTTACTTCAAGCAATAAATCCACTGAATCTAAATGTTCAAATTGTTGGACTGAAATTGAGTTCAGGGGGAGGATGATGACCTTGTCTCATCCTTTGGTACCTTGTGGTGACGTGTTGGATTCTTCAGTCCTGTAAACTGTAAACTGTCAACTGAAGGCTGTGGTCCATTGACATAGAAGACTGAGAATTGTAACCTGTCAGCAAGAAGAATGAACAGACTCAGACACCTGGTGTGAACAACAACTAACTACAGTGAAATGCCTTTACCCTTCCCCCTTTCCTAAGACCCTGTTATAAAAACCTGTCACAATGTACCTTGGAGTGCAAATTCCCTGGTTTCTCTCTCTCTAGATCAAGGAATTCTGCCCTGGAGTCCCCTTAATAAATCTTCTTTATGCTTGCTTGTTTTCTTGCTCTCTGGATCCTGTCTGCATCCTAACACAAATTTGTTTAAATAAAACATTGTATATGACCATTATTGTGAAAATAGAAGTTTAAAAGAGATATAGGGGAGATTAGGAGAGCAGAAATGGAATGTACAATAAACCAACACTGTAAAAGATTGGGACACAGGAGGAGTATCCTGGGAATCATTGATAAAAAGACAATATGGCTATTGCAATTAGCAAGTATGAGCAGGAACCAGGTAACTGTTGAAAAACGCAGCAGAAAGAGGAGAAGGGCGAAGAAGCGGGAGGGGAAAATTCCATCTACAACCCCAAAATCCACTACAGCAGCAGAGATTAGTGGATAGGTGTTGGGCACAAGGCGAAGATTAGGGGAGGTGCAACGGGGATTGAATGAGTAGGAGTAATAAAAGATAATGATCAGTAGAAGCCAGTTATATAAAACACAATGAATATAACCACCAGAGCTCCCTATGTAAATGATTATATGAAGCTTAAAACATGACGTCACAGGACTATCCCGAAGTGTATGACAATGACTGCATGAAATCTAATTTAAAAAAATAAAAATTACATCACTCTGAGGTAAACGTCTCTTTTAGAGTGTATTCAATGGAATATTGAATGAAGGCAGATGTACAAGCTTTATGTAATATGTTGTTGTTGTTGTTGTTGTTGTTGTTGTTGTTGTTGTTATGTGCCACCCAGTAGCTTGCGACTTATAGTGATCTTTTGTACAACAACCCTAAACCCTGCTCTATCACTTGCCAGTCTCATTGTCTCCAACATGCCTATCCGCACTACTCCAGTCACGGAATCCATCCATTCATCGAGGATCTTCCTTTCCTGCACTGTCCCTCCTCCCTCCCAAGCATGACATCCCTCTCCAATAACTGGTCCCTCCTTGTGACATGTCCAAAGTATGTCAGGTGAAGCTTCAGGATCCTTGCTTCCAAAGAGCAGCCTGGCTTCACCCTTTCCAGGATGGACTTGTTTGTTCTCCTAGCAGCCCATTGTTTAATCAATACTCTTCTTCAGTATCAAATCTCAAAGGCCTCAGCCCTCCTTGTGTTATCCCTAGTCATATTCCACCTCTCTGAAACAAAGCAAGTAATGGCAAAGATCATGGCCTGTATCAGGCACACCTTAGTCTTTAGACTGACATTGTTGCTCCTCAGTACCTTGGAGAGATCTCTGACAACAGATTTACCCAATGCAATTTATCTTTTAATTTCCTTGCTGCTAGTACCAAGAGTGTTGATTATAGAGCCAAACAACCTGAAGCTATCAACAAACTCAATCTCTTCACTACCTATCATGATGATGCTAGTCTGCCCAGTTGTGATACAATATTTAATATTTCATCACATAGTCTACAGCCTCAGGGCAAGAAACAGTCAATATCTCTCAAATGCAAGTAACACTTTATTATAACAACTCAGCTTTATTTGAATTTTTCCAGTCTTCAATTATCATGAAAACTTCTACTCTGGAACTTCAACTTTCAATTTACAATCAAAGTTGGAGAGTTTGTTGATAGTTTAGTTTTGGACACAGTAAGCTTCTCTTAATAATATAACTTAAAAACTCAGGTAGTTTATTGACATGCCACATTGAGGTGTAATGTTGTTGAGAGCTGGGAGGCTCTTGGCATGTTTTCAACCAGACAACTTGGCCATTGTCTCACCAGCGAGTTTGACAAGAAGAAAAAGGAGTCTGAGAAGTACACCTGCTGAAGATTCCACTTTAGGTGGCGCAGTAAATATTTTTTTTTCAACACATTTCACTTTTTGCAGTATTAGGCCTATCCTGGAGAGGTTGAAACCAAGTTGGTGCTTGACAGAAATTAGAAGTATTCAAAAACAAATGGATAAAAGAAATAGACAAGCATAAAATTGCTCAAATGGATTCAGAAATACCAAGCCAATCACCTTTCAGTGACATAGAAAGAGGTTCAGACTCTTCTGTACAGAATGATAACGTCTCTTCAAATTAATGAGAACAAAATATATAGTTGAATTTAGGGCCTATAAACTATTCCCTCAGTGCTTCTCTTTTTAAGTGTTTCGCCTTTTTTTGCATTTTTTTGGATAGACAAGTGATGCTTTTGAGAAAATGTTAGCAGAGAGTCAACAACCAATAAGCCACATTACAGCACAGGCTCAATGTGTTCTTTCCTGGTTACTTTTAACCAAAGTGGAGTGAAGAAAAGTCCCCCCTCATCAAGTTCTTTCCTTGTTTTTATTGCCCTTGCTACTGCTTCTATCTCCCTAACACACACACACACACACACACACACACACACACACACACACATTTTTTTTTTCATTATTATTTTTTCATTATTTTTTTTCATCTCTGTAAGGAGATGAAAAGATGATCAATTTGAAAAGGAGAAAGGGATTACACTCATCATCTTACATACATTTGACGTCAATATGCCACAGGATCGATGTACACACTGAAAATATATGCATAAAAACAGTGAAGCCAACAAGGCGCACCATAATGTAAGCTTCTTCACCTTAACCAGAGTCCCTCAGGGAATCTGTTTCTGGTCAGGTCCTCAGGCCATAGTCTCTGGAGTTTTTCTAGATATCACATTGGTAGATATATAAATGGTGTCTTAGAAACTTGCTAGTGATTATCTAAAATGTAACTAATGGCCTTTACCTGTATGGGAAAAAGAGCAGTGAAGAAAATTGTTGTTGCGATGAAACAATGAGTCCAAATAGTAGTTCTGCCCACTAAGCCCAAATTCTGTCATGCTGAAGAGAAGTACAAATAGATGGCATCTGTCTACCACTGCTGACCACTAAGAAAGTGTTCACATTAGAACACAGTGAACAGACTGTGAGATAAATGAGAAAGAAAACTCAAAAATCACAAAAGTGATCAGACTTACTTTCTGGTAGACATATGGGTCATGGAGAGTCATTAATCTAATAAAAATTCTTAGAACTCATCCTAGTGGTTCATATTTTAGGCGAACAAGCATAATATCAAGGATTTATTCCCTCTTAAAATAGCCCACTATTCAAGACCAAAATGGTAGAACTTCTGAGATATAAAACTCAGATGACAGGAAGAAAGAGAATAGAAAGATGAACAGAATCCCGGGGAGAAAATTGAAAGTTTGCATTTACAAGGTGGGGATTTTAATTAATGTCACAAAACAAAACATAGAAAAATTATTGAATGGAAAGTAAATCTGCTTTGTAAATTTCAATAATTTGGTTTTTTAAAAAAAATTAAAATAAGAATTTTTTTCCCCCCAGAATGGTATCTTTAATCTTCCCAATCCTCCTAGGACACTTATGTCTGCTCTGGCCTATGGTCGCACAGAGTCATGCTACTCCATGTCTTGATACCATACAGGAGGAGCATATGCAAATAGAGCCCTTTCTTCTGCTGATAAAAACCAGCCCAGCTCCAAACCTGTAGCTCTGGGAGAGGAGCCCCAGAATCTCAGGTGTCCTTAGTCGAGAATGAGGGCTGAACACAGACAAGTCATTATGTCTCCTCTTAAATGGATTTTCCTTGTTGCTATTATAAAAGGTAATTTTGTAGAGAACGAGTGTATCTAAGTGGGATGATTAAAATAATGCATATGTGTAATTCCTGATCTGAATGTCATTGTCTTTGCAGGTGTCCAGTGTGAGGTCCAACTGGTGGAGTCTGGGGGAGACCTGAGGCAGTCTGCAGGGTCTCTGAAGCTCTCCTGTGCAGCCTCTGGGTTCTCCTTCAGTAACTATCACATGTACTGGGTTCGCCCAGCTCCAGGGAAGGGACTGCAGTGGGTATCACATATTCCTGCTGGTGGTAACACATGCTACGCAGACTCCGTGAAGGGCTGGTTCACCATCTCCAAAGACAATACCAAGAACATGCTGTATCTCCAGATGAACAATCTGAGAACTGAGGACATAGCCATGTATTACTCTGCAAGATACACAGTGAGAGGAAGTCCGTGAGAGCTCAGACAGAAACCTCTCTATGAGAGCCAAGAGCACAGAATGCAGATCTAGTATAAGGTGCTGATAGATGAAGGTTGAAGGTGGTTTCCTGTTGCAATCTTGGCATTTCCCATCTGACAATTTCCCCAGGAAATATTCACATCTCTCCTTCTCTCCCTACCTCTCTCCCCTCCTCTCCTATCTTTTTCTTTCCTTTCTTTCCTTCCTTTCTTCTCCCCTCCTTTCTCTTCTCCCGCCTCTCTCCATTTATCCCCTCATCTACCCTCCCTTTTAACATTCTGTGGTACTAGAATATTACAGCTGATGTCAGATGGATCTTGGCTGGAAGCAGACAGTACAAGAGGAATGTCTATCTATGTTCCACTGACTGTGAAAAGGCATTTGAGTGTGAGGATCACAAAAAAAGCTGTGTCTGACTCTGAGAAGAATGGGACCCAGAATATTTGAATTTACTTATGTGAAACCTATACTTGGACCAAGAGGCAGTCGTCAGACCAGAGCAAGGAAACACTGCACAGTTCAAAATTGGGAAGGGTGTGTGTCAAGTATGTGCCCTATCTCCATAACTTTTCAATCTGCATGTGGAATACATAATCCAGGAGGCTGGGTTCTATGAGGAGAAATGTGGCATCAAGATTGGAGGTAGACTCATTCAGTCTGCGTTATGCACATAGCACAACCCTGCTTCCTAAAACTGAGGAGGGTCTGAAGACTTTGCTGCAGAAGGTCAAGGACTGCAGCCTGCAATATGGACTAAATCTCAACATCAAGAAAACAAAGCTTCTCACCACTGAGCCAATTGGCAGTATCATGATGGATAATGAAGAGAATGAGATTGTTGACAGCTTCAGTTTGCTTGTCTCTACAGTAGCCTGGTAACAGGAGCCAGGAAATTAAAAGATTAAGTGCATTGGGAAAGTCTGCTGTCAGAGACCTCTCAGAAGTACTGAAGAGCAATGATGTCAGTTTGGAAACTAAGGTGCACCTGATTCAGGCCATGGCCTTTGCAAATAATTGCTTTGCATCAGAGAGCTGGACAATGACTAGGCATGATAGAAGGAGAGTTGATTCCTTTGAGCTTTGGTGCTGGAGAAGAGTATTCAATATCATATGGACTATTAGGAGAACAAACAAGTCTATCCTGGGGAGGGTGAAACCAGTCAGCCCTTGGAGGCAAGGATTCTGAGGCTCCGTCTAACATACTTTGGACATGTTGTAAGGAGGGACCTGTCCTTGGAGAGGGACATCATGCTTGGGAGGGTGGAGGAGCAGTGAGGAGAAGAACATCATTGATGAGACGGATTGATTCAGTCTCTGGGGTAATGAGGATAGGCATGTTGGAAACAATCATCTTGGCAAAGGATAGACCAGGGTTTAGGGCTGTTGTACGTAGAGTCACCATGAGTCGAAGGTGCCACTCGACAGCACATAATGACCACGACAACAACAATAACAATAACAAGATATGCAACGAATAAAATTCTGCATGGTCTACAACATAGAATTCTGCTGAACTCAGAGAAACCTTGGCGTTCATTGTCTGTTGGATTATTTACTCACCAATACCTTCAGTGTAACTTGGACTTCCTTCTTCAGTACCATTGGTTCTTAATCAAATGCTACTTCTTAAAGTGGTTCAGTGTTGGCCAGTTCTATTTGATACAGGAATTTGTGCATTCTTCCCACCTTCTTTTGATTTTTTTGGGGGGGGTTTGTTTTGTTTACCTCATTTAATATGTTGCCCAAAGAATCCTTTGGGATTGTAACTCTAGGCCTTGCCCAGCTTATTATAATACTTTGCTGTTCTTCTCAAATTGCCCCTCACATCTCCTTTTTACATTTTCTACTACATTATTTATCTCAGTTTTACTTCTCTACATTGAAGAGGAAGTTTCAGAGTCCCTTGGATTTCATTTCAGATGTTTTGTCTTTTTTGTCCTTAATGACACTTGGCTTTCTTTGTGGGTGCTATCGGATATAATGCCAAAACTAATCTAGTCTTTGGCAATTAATGTTCAATACTTCAAATCTCCTGATCATATGGTATTTCCTGAAATTTTTCAGTGCCAATCAATTCTTTCAGGAACAGTGATCCTGTGCATTAGCTCAATCTTGTTATGATGTTTTCTGAGACATTCAATATATGGCCATAGCATCTTTCAGCATTACGATATGAGGCTTAAATTTGTTTTTCCACTTCTTTTGGCTTAAGAAAGGAAGAGTGAGTTCTCCCCCTTTTATTCTCTATTTCCAGGTCCCTGTACATTCCATTATAATACTTTGCTTTGTCCACCCAAGCCACCCTTTGAAATTGTCTGTTCAGATCTTTCACTTTGACATATTTTCCTTTAGATTTGACCTCTTGACATTCCAGTGCAACCTTTAAAATTCTCTTCTGACATCCATTTAGATTTTTCTTTATGAAATTCATGGATTCTGACATTCGTTTCCATTTTTACCATTTGAATAGGAGCCACTGGTAATAAAAGAGGAAGTGGAAGCTACATTGAACACATTGGCAAAAATTAAGTCCAGAGGAATGGATGAGCTACCAATTGAATTGTTTTGATTAACAGATGCAGCCTTGGATGCATGCACCGGTCTATTTTAGGAAATTTTTGCTGACAGCCATCAGGCCAATGAATTGGAAGAGTCCATATTTATTCCTATTCCCAAGAAGTGTGGTCTGACTGAATGTGGAAATTATCTAACAATATAACCGATATCCATATTGAAGGCTGCAGTCCCTGACCCTCAGCAGCAAGCGCTTCAGGCCTCCTCAGTTTCAGCAAGCAGGGTTGTGTCATCTGCATAATGCAGATTATTTATGGACCTTCCACGAATCCTGATGCCATGTTTCTCCTCATTCAGTCCAGCCTCCTGGATGATCTGTTCTGCATACAGGTTGAAAAGGTATGGAGACAGGACACATCCCTGGCGTATGCCCTTCCCAATTTTGAACCATGCAGTGTTTCCTTGCTCTGTTCTGAAAACTGCCTCTTGGTTCAAGTATAAGTTTCGCATTAGCATGATCAAGTGTTCTGGGATTCCCATTCTTCTCAGAGTCAGCCACAGTTTGTTATGATCCACACAGTCAAACGCCTTTGCATAATCAACGAAGCACAGATCAACATTCCTCTGGTACTCCCTGCTTTCTGCCAAGATCCATCTAACACTAGCTACAATATCCCTAGTACCATGACCCCTTCTAAACCCAGCCTGGCCACCACTGGACAAATTGGCAGCATCAGGATGGATGGTGAAGAGATTGAGATTGTTCACAGCTTTAGTTTGCTTGGCTCCAAAGTCAACACACTTGGCACCAGCAACCAGGAAATTAAAAGACATATTGCGATGGGAAAGTCTGCTGTTAGAGACCTCTCTAAAGTACTCAAGAGCAACGGTGTGTCTCTGGATCCAAAGGTGCATCTGGTACAGGCCATGGTCTTTGCAATCACTTGTCATGCATCAGAGAGCTGAACAATGACCAAGGAGGATAGAAGGAGAATTGATGCTTTTGGTGTTGGAAAAGAGTACTGAAGGTGCCATGGACTGCTAAGAGAACAAACAGATTCATCCTGGAGAGGGTTAAACTGGCCTGCTCCTTGGATGCAAGGATTCTGAGGCTACGTCTGACATACTTTGGTCATGTTGTAAGGAGATACCAGTCCTTGGAGATGGACATCATGCTTGGGAGGCTGGAGAGCAGGCCCTCTGGGAGATGGATTGATTCGGTTACTAGGGCAATCAGGATGAGTGTGTCAGAGGCAGTGAGATTGGCACAGGACAGAGCAGAGTTTAGAGCTGTTGTACATAGGGTCACTATGAGTCACTAGCAACTCGGCGGCACATAACAACAACAACAACAAGATAACTGATATCACATACAAGCAAAATACTGCTGAATATCATTTACATAAATAAAGATATGCCTGAATTTCAAGTGGGATTTAGAAGAAGATATGGAACCAGGGATATCATTGCTGATGTTTGATAGATCCTGCTGAAAGTAAGGAATACCAGAACAATGTCTATTTGTTCTTTATTGATCATGTAAAGGCATTTCGTTATGTGGATCATGACAAGTAGTGGCTGACATTGAGCAGAATGGAAACCCAGAGCACTTGATTTGCTCACGAGGAACCTATATCTTGGTCAGGATGCTGTCGTGTGAACGGAGCAGGGGAGCACTGCATGATTTGGAATTGGGAAAGGAGTGTGTCAGGGATGTGTTCTATCTTCATACCTGTTATATCTATATGCCGAGGAAATTATCTCAGAAGCTGGACTCTAAGTAGTGGAATGTAGCATTGGGATTTGAGGGAAACTCAACAATAACCTGAGTTATGCAGGTGATACAACGTTACTTGCTGAAAGTGAGGAGGACTTTGAAAACTTGTTGCAGAAGATTAAGGAATGTAGTCTTCTGTATGGATTGTGTCTCATTGTCAAGAAAAGAAAGATTCTTACTACTGGACAGTGTCATGATGGATGGAGAGGAGATTGAAAGTGTCAAAAGCTTCATCCTACTTGGATCCAGAATTAACACCCTTGGTAGGAGGAGTCAGGAAATAAGGAGATGTGTTGCACTATGAAAATCTGCAGTTACAGAACTTTCCAAATTATTGAGCAGTAGCAATATCAGTTTGAGGACTCAAGTACGTTTGATTCAGGCCATAGTGTTTCCAGTTACTAGCTAGGCATCCAGGACCTGGGCAATGAATAAGAATGGCAGAAAAAGAATTGATGCCTTTGAGCTGTGGTGTTGGGGAAGAGCACCAAATATCCCATGGACAGCCAAGAGAATGAATAGACATGTCTTGGATGCAACAAGGATGCAACAAGTGCTCTTTGAAGGCAAGAATGATGAGGCTTTACCTCATATACTTTCAAACTATTAATAGAAGATGCTATTCCTTGGAGAGGGATATGATGTGGGGAAGGGTGGAGGGCCAGTGGAGGAGACGAAGACACTAAACCAGGTGGACTGACAAGAT